CTTGAGCGATAGTCAAGATTAACATTAAAGCGCATTACAACATAATCATCTCCCTCGCCAAAACAACGATGACCATTGCGAGTGGGAAGAGACGCATGGCACTGGACGGTGCCATGGTACCATCCGCCCCGGAAGTGCCAACCCACGCATTATAGTTCTGGAACCCCTTCTCCTCGCTCGGACACTCGGACGTGATGTGCTCGCCAGAGACGCTGGCGATCTCCTGATCGCCTCGCGATATGCTCACCTTCACGTTTCCGGACTGGGTAAATGGCACACTGCCGTGGTAGATTCCCTTTCCGTCCTTGGGCACGTTATCCCAGCTCCCTGTCACCGTGGTCTTTCCGATACTGATCGTCACATCGGCTGTGGAGTTGAGAAGCGCCGAGTACATGATACGATCGTGGACAATCTCGGACGGTTTGTACTCGACTTGGCCCTGGGTCTCCGAATTTCCGGTAGTGCCGCCGGTGGTGCATGCCGACGCAGGATGCAGACGATACCAGGTCACGACATTCTCTTCCTTGATCGGAATTGTCGAGTTCGGGTTCTTGTACTGATCAACGACGTACGGCAGGAATGTGCGCCAGCCATCGTGGGGCATGTTTTTGGCGTAGTTGAAGGGGGCCTCTCCGCGGTTAAACGCCTCATAGCTATCATCATGCAGCGGGCCAATATAATGGGACTCGCCGTAGTCATTCCACGAAATGATCTGCACGAACTCCGGTTGGAAAGAAATGACCTCCTCCCAGCGATCATACCACAGGTTATCACCGGCCCATACCCAGTTCTTTCCAAAGCCGGGCATATTGGTGTAGAACCAGGGCGAAACAGGCATCATGTATGGGCGGCCGTCCAGCGCATGTTTGTATGCATCGTCGGCCGAGGTGTTCATGCGGGTCGGCCCGTTGGGCCAGGCGGCCCAGCTGAACAGTCCATCCACATAGCTTCTGTTGGCGGCCGCTTGGGGCCCGACAGACGAGAAGTCGGGGATGAAGAAGGACCCGGTTTGTTTCCTGATCTCGGGCCAGTCTTTGGATGTAGCGCCCTCGAAGGTGGACATGAATGGCTTGGAGTCGTACTTGTAGTAGGCGGGGCGGTCCTTATACTTGTTCATGAGGTCGATCGTGTCTTGCTTGGGCCAGGATCCGTTACCGGCATAGTCGAACGAGAAGAAGAGTTTGAAGTCGAGGTCTTCGGCTTGGTCGAAGGCTTTATCAAGGGTCGCGGGGAGCATCTCGTTGCGGGCCATGTTCAGCGCGAACCCATCTATGTGGGCGTTTTGGGCCAGTTGGATGTCATTCTTCCACTCCTTATCTGAGAAGTCGGCACTATTGCCCACCTAGTATACGATCAAACATGTTATTAGGTGTCTTCCAGGCGGGGTGAAGGGTTCGAGTACCATGAAGTGGGCAAAGACTGCCTTTGCCTGGGCTTGTGCGCAGCATGACAGTAAAGCAAGAGCGTAAAGCCGCTGCATGGTGGGCGGAGTGAACTTTGACCGATGCAAGCCAAGGGGCCGTGACTTTTCTCACAGCAGTATGGCGTCCAGACAGTTTTAAATATTGCGAGAATCCGACGTGGTGTCTGTATACCCAAGAGGATGAGGGCTCATATTGAGATGATCACTACCGTGTCTGGCCAGATTTTTACTGGCTCAATACCACTAGTATACAGCGGAACTGGAGATACCACTAGCCTCAGGGTTCAGGGTCCGGCCTGCTATTGTCGGTTAGTTTCCTGCCCTAATTTTAGAACAAGGCCAATAACCAACTCCCCATCGCCGGGCGGTCGGAAAGAATGTCTCTCAAGCATACGCTTCGTTGTATTTGACGTCTACGTTGCTTTGACCGGTATCTTTAGCTTTATTGTATGCACGTCGCAGGAGACTTCACTAGTTCATGGTTCATGTACGGGGGGACACCTCGGAAGGGGACTTTAAATGAGTTTTTCCCACAGCTCACACTTAACCTGTCATATTTGTGATATGTCCAGTCAACCGTTCGTGAACTGCTGCAAGAACAAGGAGAGCTCCAGTTTTATGACAACTCTCAAGCCACCTTTGGGCAGCATGTCGACAAGAAGTCAGTTGAGCCCATTGACGTGTATGCTGTCCTTGCCGGCGCGATAGAGAGTTTTCTGGGTAACGCCGGATATCTCTAGACCTACTCCGTCAACAGCTCGGTGTGGTTACTAAATGCTCACGTCAGGTCTCAGGATAAGGTAACGTCCAATCCGATCCTCCATTCGTTCAGATAGGCTTCCATTACTACTAATGTAGGTACACACCTATTTTCACACCTTGCGTTGCCAATCCTGCGACTCATCAACTGCCAAGCGCTTCCATACATTGTGTTACAGTAACCCCGAGCTGCCTATTGGATTTAGACTCAAATCGCATTCTCTACGGCACGCTACTTCGAGTTGCGCAAACTGTCGCTAGTCGTAACGCGAGATGCCCTACGGGAGGGGAGGATACTGCGAATGGAACCCTGGTAGCAAAGAAAACGATGGCGTTAATGTGGAGCTTAACCACGCCGCTTGTTGCCGAATGCCGAAGCTCCCGGAGCCAGTAGGGCGGTAGATAAGTCCAGGCGCCATGATTGTTGCCAACATTCGAGTGACGTGAAAATCATCGACTGCAGCAACAGCTAGCTCGAGAACGGAAACACCATTGGAAACTCTAAAGGGCCCTCTCTGCCGGCTCAAAGGGACAGTTGCTGCAGCGCAGCACACAATATGATTCCAAATAACTTCTTTTCTGCGGTCAAGGGATCCCATGTCGACGATGACTGCGGGGCTGTCCACTTCAGCGACCGGGTTTGTACGGAGGGCGGTGGTTTCAGTCCTAATATAGAAATCGCAAGTACTACACCCAACCGCAGTGAAAGCAAGCAGTGAGAAAGTCGTTCATGCAAAGCTCCTCTATGGTGACTTGTTAAGGTTCTTCCAGACACAATATTCCCCACCCAGGGTACAGTTGTCTTGGCGTCTAGGAAGTAACCGAGACAATTCTGAGACATGCTGGATCGGTCGTTATCGCCGGGTCTCTCAACCGGTCTCGCACATTAACTATTAGGTAAATCGTCTACCCGAGAACAATAATGCCATGGCACCCACAACAACGTTTGGGGAAGCAAAGTTTTTGAAGCTAAGCAGTTAACACCTTGCCGACCGTGTCGCAGATGACTTTGGACATACCGGCAGATTGTTATCTAGGGATCGATTGGCGTCGTGACACGGAACTCAGCCGGAGCCGAAATGATGATTCGAGTGGTCAGGAATGCTATCTGTTTCCTGTCCGTGCGCCATTGGATTCACAGCCGGCTCCACAGTCGTAGCAATTGCTAGTGCCGTTGTGCCGACTGGGGAGTTGTGTTCGATTCCAAGTTCCATTGACGGCTTCGCACATCTTTTTCGATGAGACTGGAACTGTGAATGACGGGAGGCTGTCCATAGTAGTAGGCGGTAACGAGGGCGATAACACGGTCTCTTCTAATGTTGCTGCATGGCCCACCCGGTGAACTGAAGCAACCGGTCTCTCCTTCTGTGGCTGCACATCTCGAGGCAAAGGACGGACATACCGCTATCAATGGTAACCGATAAATACGAGAACCCGACCCGAACGGACGGAGCACAGGACATCACGCCACGTGCTCGGACAGTAACACATGTCCAACCAGCTCTCCCCAAGTATGAAACAGCACTCTGCCTCATGTCTGATAAGCCACTCCTCTCTGGATTTAGTTTAGAGGGGCCATTTCTCATGGGCGCTATTCGGATTGCCACAAAGCCTAGCGATGTTACGTAGCTTCGGGCGAAGGGTACTGCAGTCACTGACATTCTCCCTCGATGGACACTGTGCAAGAGACAGGACAATGTTTGGGCATTTCCCCTTCATTTCTGCGGCGAAAATGCTTTGGCGAAGGCTTCCCAAAGTCGTTTGAATGGTCTGCGGTGGCCCAACATCTAGCCGAGGACGCGTGCGAGATAACGTTGCCTCAATCGCTTTAAAGGGATCCTTTCAAATGGACGGGTATACCACTGTCGTAAAGACAGTGGCCCCTGGGTATTGTTAGTCTGCCAAACTAAAGAACACTTCAAGGATCTGTGCTGTGGATAATCTGTATGAGGCTGCGTGGGAGAGAAATAATCAGCTTCTGTCTAGGAGTCAAGACTAGGTTGCGACTTGCCGTATTTGAAGACTCGCTCTTGCTAATCAGCATGTCACAGCTTGACCATGAGACTAAGCTTGAAGTCCAGTGCTTAAGAAACTAACCTGGTGCGGTGATCCTATAGTCCGATTCAAGTCATGCCATGATGCTATGTGTTGAAAATCACCCCTTAGAGAAATTGTTGTTTCCGGAGCAGTTTGAACCTGGATTGTCAGCTTTGGGTGTGCTCCTCGAAATGAAGCCTGGCGGAAACGCACCTATCGGGGAGCATTTCGAAATTGCGGATACCCCCTGCACCGCGTTCCAGTGTGTGACTGAATTGGATGTGGCTAAAGATGGCGGCGAAGAATGACATGTTCCTGTGTGTTTGCGGAAAACGTCTCCGAACCTGTAGGCGAGAAGCGATCTACATTCCGATCGAGGTAGCTTTGGGAAATATGATACGTGTCGGAAGAATATCGAAGTCAATGCAAGGGATGAGCGTCCTTCCGGCACATGGCACATCTGGATAACTACTACTGGCGACTGGATCGGCAGTCTTTCGAGGCTGTGCTGGGGGGCCAGACCGGCTTTCGGGATAGTTGAAAAATGTAAGGGGAAGGAAGAATGCAGGCACAAATTCTCAAAGAGGTCAAGCCTAAGCCGAACTGAAGCGGGTATATAAATAAATAGATGCCCATCCCATTCATTGGAAGAGCCATGGACTGCATGCAACAAGTTCTTCGTGAGACATTCCATGGCACCCACTTGCAGGAGATGACCCAGTGAAAAAAAAAAAAAAAAAAAAAAAAAAGGAACAAAAAGAAATTAGAAAAGCTTTACAACATGCTGCATCTGCAAGCAAAGCCTTCGAAAGCGGTTGCTGCTTTGCAACCGCGGTTCTTCACTATACCGGGTCCGCTTATATGCATAGCGATGTCACTCTTTCTCAATCCGTTATCTCTTGGTGTTCATGCTAGCTCTGCCCAATACCCTGTCCCATCTCCGTCTCCGATCAGACACGGTCATTCACTCGACATCCCAGCCCGGAACAGCATTCTACCCAGTGATCTTCAAGAGATCATTCTGAATGGCCCCGATGAGCAAAAGGCCCGCGAGTGGAATCTCCACTATACGTCCGAGCCACATTTCGTGGGCCAAGGAGAACCGCTCGCTGTGTGGACTCAGGACAAATGGCGCGAATTTGGAATCGAGAACACCTCAATCAAGTCATATCCAGCCCCAGATGGGCCCACCCTGCCGTTGTATCAAAGGCTCGCCTTGCTCGAGCGGAAGCCTGGGAACGCCGAGGACCAAGATGACACAGTATTATTCAACGCAAGCCTGAATGAAAGTTCGACCTTCGTGAACCCCGTCAGTGGAAAGATCATCAGCAGTCCTCAATTCTTCTCCTGTACGCCAAATGCTAATGTTACGGCACCCTTCGTGTTTGTCAATTATGGTACGGATTCAGATTACGATGATCTCATGCACTCCAATATCGATGTGAGTGGTATGATTGGGATTATGAAACAAGGTAAACCGTACATTCGGAGCGCCCTAGGTGAAGCACAGAAGAGAGGCATGGTAGGCTTGGTAGTTTATCTCGACCCGGAGTTTGACGAAAATGTCACCGAAGCACATGGCTATCTGCCGTTCCCTGAAGGCCCGGCGAGGGCACCCAGCAGCGTTGTGCGGCGAATGGGCTTCTCCCGCAACGATCCTTCACTGACGATTCCTGTCATACCAATCTCATACTCCGATGCCCTCCCATTTCTCAAGGCTCTTAACGGCCATGGACCACAGGCGAGCGAGCTCAGCACCGCTTGGCAGGGAGGGCAGCTAGGATATCTAGGGGTCAATTACAACGTTGGACCATCACCGGACGGCTTGACCATGAACCTAGTGAACACATTCCAGAGTTACAATGTCTCCGTATACAATGTGCTCGGGACGATAAAGGGCGAGGTTGAGGACGAAGTGATCATCCTAGGAAACCATCGTGATGCGTGGGCTGCTGGTGCTGGCGACCCAAATAGTGGTTCTGCAGCACTAAATGAAGTCATCCGTACCCTTGGTACCGCTATGAAGAAAGGTTGGAGACCATTCAGAACCCTAGTATTTGTCAGTTGGGATGGCCATGAGACGGGAGGCATAGGATCCACTGCCTGGCTAAAGGAAAATCTACCCTGGTTGTCTAGAGCGGTTGTCGCTTACCTTGAAATCGAGACTGCTGCTACTGGCACAAAGCTCTTCACCAAATCCAGTCCTCTTCTACGCGACGTCATCTATTCTGCTGCTGAGAAGGTGCTCTCCCCCGACCAGAGTCAACCGGGGCAGAGCATCATGGATGCATGGGGTGGCCAAATAGAGCCAGAAGGTGGAGGGGACACTAATGGTTTCGTTTCAAATGGTTTTACCTCCATCAACCTTGGTTTTGCCCCTGGCCCAACGGATCCTATCTTCCACTGGCATTCTGACTTCGACAACATACAATGGATGGACACTTTTGGGGATCCGACATATGAGTATCATACTGCAAGTGCTAAACTGTGGGCGCTGGCTGCAACACACTTGGCGGACGAGCCAGTCGTTGCCTTCAATGCCACTGCGTATGCCGTGGCAATGGATGGTTATTTAGACGAGCTGAGGGATACATTGAAAAAAGCAACATCAGATGAAGCCTATCAACAAGGGGCAAATTCATGCACTGTCAACCTGCAACCATTGAAAGATGCGATTGCAGAGCTATACCAGGTGGCTGTTCAGTTTGACGCGGACGCAGCAGACCTTGCAGCAACGCTGACCGGAAAAAATACAATCCTAACGGCTTCAACCTACCGGAAAAACCAGAGGATCCAGGATATTAACCAAAAGTACAGAACATTCGAGAGGCAATTCGTGGTTCCCTCGGATAGTTCCCGGGTAGGTTCATCTCATGTTGTGTATTCGCGATCCTCGTACAAGTTTCCTGAGCCTACTTTCCCTGATATCACGAACAACGTGAAAGGCGGCAAATGGTGCGATGCAGAGGTAAGTTCTCTCTCTTCCCCTCAAAATAACGGAGATGAACGTTGATTATTGATTTTCCCACCTAGAAATCGAACCAAATTGTCGCAGACGCGGTACGCAACGCTACGCAGTTGTTACGATCGTAGGGCCATGAACCGTCTGGGTTCGGAGGGCGAAATTGGTATATGTAGTAAAGGCTTTATACATATCTTGAATACATTTCCTTCTCGGTACATCCGCTTGAAAAGAAATGTACAGTTTCATGGCTCCAATAATAATCTACAACTCCCATACCCTCAGCAGTTGTCGGTGGTCGAATTTTACTCCTTGGGCGTGAGCTTCAACATTCCGACGGACCGGGAAAGAAAGCAGTTCCCACATGGAAACAGTGATACATGCTCTGTAGATTTAGCCGACACGCGCGGATCCCGCCAGGCGAGAACGACAGAATATCAAAATCCAGCGTACTACACGTCCAAACTCGACCTAGCGGCGAAGCACGTAGATGAGAGAGATCCTTCACAATGAACCCCATCACGGAAAAGCCCTCTCGCGGATCAATCTTTCTTCCCAGCATTTCTCGCAAATCGCAATCCCCTTACAACCCCGATCCTTCATCCCAACTGCAAACTCTCTGCAGACCATACATATCACGAACATCACTCCCTGAATCACAATCTGGGCCCCAGGTCCATACCTTGCCGCGCCGGAACGTGGCATGAGCCCACATTCCACACAGAAGCGCCTCTCAGCATCACGACCGTATCTACCCCGCCCGCGTCGAAGCATCCGATCCGCGAATTTGGCCGCGGGACGGAGACGGAGACAATACCGACAGGCGTAGACATCGTGTGCGAGGGCGATGTCTGTGAGTTCGGCTTGGAGGAGCTCATGGTGCGAGAGTGGAGGGATTAGGTCATTGAAGTAGGCGCAAGTCAGTTTGAGATGGACTAGGTCGGGGAAGATGAGAAAGTTGGCGATGAGAATGTGGAGTTCGGGCGGCAGGTTCATGAAACGCGGAAACGTTTTTGTTGGTGCTTCGGAAGAAGAGACTGTCTCATCCTGCCGAGGCATATTGCTTGGCTGTGAGGCATTTGTTCCATGGGGTATAGATGAGCCTCGTCATGTTGTTTTGCGTAGGGTGTTGGGGATCGTTGTTAGGATGAGGTTGCAAATGGCGGCCGATCCGGATAGATGATTCGCGGCCCGATTCGGTTGGATTAGTCACGTGGAGGAAACCCTAACCTTCTGATAGATTTGACAGTCGACTAGAAAGATTGGGGTGCATTGTGACTTAGTGACGGTCAGGTAGAGATCATGTACTTTATGAGAAATTCCGAGTCATTATATCATGATGTGTTCTAGGTTAAACTGGGATATATATAAATGTGTACCGCTGGTAGATGTAAAACATGCGTCCTCTAGTAGATACTACTGAAAGTAAAGGTAAAAGCCCCCTGCGACCCGTACTTCCTCCGTACTACTACGTATCGATGATCAGGTATCACCCAGTCTGCGCCAGCCGCCTTCAGCTGGTCAACAGTGTGCGTGGTTGTCACTGCTAAAACGTAACATCCAGCCAATTTCCCTGCTTTTACACCGGCTGGAGCATCCTCGACAACGAGGACGTCCTTTATGTCGTCCTCCCCGCTATGTTGCAGCAGCCGAGTGCGAGCTTTATAGTAACCTTCTGGATCGGGCTTCCCGATTCTGACATCCTCTGCGACAGTAACCTCTTGAGGCCGAGGTAACTGCAGGACATTGAGCCAGCCGTTTAGGAGAGCATTGGTGCCTGATGTTACGATCGCCCAAGGTGTGTGAAGGCTGTGAAGTGTCTCAAGAAGAGCTCGTGCACCCGGGATTTCAATAGCAGGATTCTTGCATAGGGAAGGTATTTTGCTTTCCATGGCGCTTATGTCTAAATTGCATACTCGTTAGGGACTGTCTGCAAAGATAGGAAAGGACTAATGCGTAGAAGGAGTCTCACATTCCCAGTTTGCCCTGCTAGGATCAAGATCCTTCAGAACATCGATACTTCGTCTACCATGCGACGTTTGCAGGATCAGCTCGTGGTCAATACCGATCTCCTCGCCGATTCTGTTTCACACGTGAGTATGACCCAAACCTAGGGTGATGGTGTTTCGAGGCGGCAAACCTTCTCCAATTCTCAACAATAGCTAGTGGGAATGTATTAGTATACGGGTGAATGAAAGGCCTATTATAGAGAGGTACCTTCAGTGGAGTCAATTATTGTTCCGTCGAAATCGAATAGGACACCGGCGAAATCATGCGTGGTCGAGGTGGCTGCAACTCCCGGCATGTTGATAGCCATTTGTATTGCTCCAGGTCTGCAGCTGTTGTGATAGCGTGAAGAAGAAATCTTGAAACAGCGGAAGAAACTGACCAGCATGCTCATTGATCCTCCAGCCTGGCACAACTTATATGGAACGGGTTCAGGGTGGCGAATGAGAGCATGGCGGAAGCCTTCCCCATTAGGAAGCATACCCGCCATTGTATACACTCCAAAAAATAACGCACAACCATCGAAAGCATTCTTACCCTAGAGCCTGTGTTCCGATACAACCGAAGTAGTTTCGTATCGAAGATTATAAATACCCCTAGAGCAAAGCAAGCATCCCTCATTACAGCCGCTCAGATCTACTCGACTTGATATATGGGTACCCCTACATCGAATTACTTCAATTTTAAATTTAGTGATCTTTCATGCGCTTAAACATGCCTCTTCACACCCCTGCTCGTTTATCTATTGCTCGTCATGCATTGAAGCCCCTCCGAGTCCATCGGGCCTCCATACGCCAAGCCACATCCAGCGCGGAACCTCGCAAAGAAGGCGACATCTCATCTGTTTTCGTTTCCTTGTCAGGAAAAGAGGAAGCACTTCTACCTCCAAGGTTTGCAGACCAAAAGAGAAGACTAATTGCCGGCCGAGAAGACGAAATTGAAAGAAGCTGGCATCGTCTCCTGTATACATTGAAGGACGAGATTCGCTTGATTGAACAGCGTGGCTCTGATATCATTCCCTCCATTGAGTTCAAGGATATCCATACCACACCAAACACGTTCGGCGACGAACTTCGAAAACGAGGAGTTGCCGTAATCCGAGGCGTGATCCCTGAGCATGAGGCTAGGGCGTACAAGAATGAAATCGAAGATTATGTCAAGGCCAATCCAGGGACAAAAGGTACTACCTTCTGTTACTCTCTAACAGTTGCTATGCTGACACTTCTCTAGCATTCCCGCCACATGACCCCCAAGTCTATGAACTGTACTGGTCACAGCCTCAGATGCGTGCCCGTACACACCCAAATATGCTAGAGGCTCAACGGTTTCTTATGAGCTTTTGGCACTCCAATTCACCGGACGCAATGATATCCCCCACGCACCCTTTGATCTACGCAGATAGACTTCGGATCCGCCAACCAGGAGATGCAGGATTTGCACTAGGCCCTCATGTCGATGGAGGTGGTCCTGAAAGGTGGGAAGATAACGGCTACGGTCGCGGCAATGTGTATCAGCGAATCTGGGAGGGGGAATGGGAAAAATACGACCCCTGGGAAGCCAGTTGCCGAGTTTTAGCAGATGCAGACTTGTACAACGGTGCTGGAGCGTGTTCAATGTTTCGCATGTTTCAAGCATGGTTGGGCATGTCTCATACAGGGCCTAATGAGGGAACGTTGCTGGTCAATCCTCTGCTCTCCTTAGCTACGGCTTATTTCTTACTGCGCCCCTTTTTTGAGCCAATTTATACACCTCCTGAAGAATGCTCTCGCATGGCGACGGAGACCTTCCTGCACCCAAGTAATTGGCGCTTGGAGAGAGAGACGTCAAGTAACCTACAGGGTGCAACTCCTGGGTTCGCTCAGGAACTTACTACAGCACTTCACCCTCATTTGGAGCTTGGTAAAACGATGGTACACGTTCCCAGAATTGCTCCTGGTGACTATGTTGCTTGGCACTGTGATAGTGAGTACGCGGTCTACCCGCCCCTCATGAGCAAACAATCTAACCAGACTAGCCATCCATGCCGTTGACCGGGTACACAATGGTACTGGCGATTCAAGCGTTCTGTATATCCCGGCATGCCCCGTCACTGAGGCCAACGCCAGCTATGTTAAAGGCCAGAGGAACAACTTCCGTGAGGGTGTCCCTCCGCCAGACTTCCCGGGAGGCAAGGGAGAAAGCGAACATATTGGACGCGCTACAGAGGCTGGCCTGGGCAAGTCCACGAGTCAGCTTGGTCTGCGCTCCTTGGGGCTTGACAAGTGGGATTTAGACGACCAGTCCCTGACTCAAGGACAACGACTTGTCTTGGACAGGTCAAACAAGATCCTAGGATTATAAGATTGAGGTCTCTTTTGTCACTTTTAGCTCTTTGTACATATATACTTACGTCCTATGTATTTGACTTTAGTACAACTTTCGAATGTTTTCTTCCTTCCTCAAACAACCCCCCTTCATGCTCACTCTGGCTGTTTCTCTTTTCTGTTTTTTTGCATGGGTGAGCCAAACAGTATCATCAATAGTCAACGAAACCTTGTATGACCTACAGAAACACCATTCAACTGAAGAATACCAAAGCATCATCCAAAATTAAAAATAAGCTCAGCTCAAACCAGGAGCAGAAAGCCAAGTTCAGGACGCATGTCACCCCAAAATAACCAACACGAGCCGCCAAGCTATGCTCCTTTACCCCAAACTGCAAAGAGCTACAGATCATATCTTCACGCTAATCACAACACGAAGAGATCAGCAGGGAATACGAAGGCAGGATCAGATACGGGCATGCTATCACACTCCTTCATAAGTTGGAATGGTATATAAACGACTTTCCTTCTCCGATCGGTGGCCAATTCTACCTCAGTCACCCCTTTTATAATTAACCTGCCATTCCTTGATTTCGATTCCCACCATCAAAAATGAAGCTTACATCCATTGCAGTCGCTCTTTTCCTCTCCCTTTTTGTCAATGCGAGTCCCATCGCTGATGCTGAAGATAACGCTGCCGCAGCCTTGGAAGCCCGCAGCGTTAAGTGTCGATTCAAGCACTACGGCTGGAAGAATGTGCAGTGCTTCACCCAGGGTGGTGATTGGGAACAGTATGGAGTGTCCTGGTGGATGTGTTCCGTGTCAGATGCTGACTGAAGTGTACAGTTCTTGGTTTGAGGTCGGAAAAAATACTGCCATAAATGCGAAGAATCTTGATATGACTACCTGCAATATCAAGGATATTCCTAGCTGCTAGGCCTCAGGTCCCATACATATACCATCACTTGATTTGCTGGGGATCGGTTGTGGCAGGTTAGTCTGTTCGGTAGGCTGGAGGCGTTTATTCATCGAGATAAACAATTGGGGGCACGGAATAGCGCGTGGGTGTACACCGCCAACTGAGCAACTTGCCATTATATACAGACATTGAAGGAGGAAATTGTACACTAAGTGCCCTTATACCTAACAGGCGTTTACCGAGGTCACCTGCAGCTGTGTTGTAAGATCGTTAAGAAAATAACAAGCTTATCACCAGTAGTATTCGGTGTTCTACCATATTATCCAACCAAGCTTGACAGACCACCATATTATAGCATATGTGAGTAAGGCAAGTAAGTAAAGGAGATAATAAAACAAGAGTAATCCCGACATCCCACAGCTTTACGCCCACTTCCCGATGAGAGCCATAATACCAGCGCCCAGCAGAGTACAAAAGACCATAAACAACAGCTGGCTCCGTCGCTTAGTGCGATCCGGATCAAACAAAAAGTCACGAGCCAACAATTCCACCAGACCACTGTAGATGAGCACGCCGGCAGAAATAGCATTCAGCACGCCCTGCACGATCAGTGCTACCTTGGAGCCAGGGTTATATGTGGTACGAACGCCGAGGCCGATGGCGATGGAGATTGGCGTAGTGAGCCCATACATTGCACATAGGATCCAGGGCAGCCAGGTATGCTTGCCGAAGGGGATAGCCGACATTCTTGCTCCGATACCAAGGCCCTCGAAGGATTGGTGAAACACCAGAACTGGGTAAAGAGTTGCGAATTCAGAGCCTGTGACGCCGAGGTTCAATCCGATGATGACAGAGTGGAATATAATACCAAATTCAAGGATGAGGAATGCTGCGATCTGTTGCTTGAAAGACCGCTCTGCCATTGCCGATTCACTGTCTGAGCTCCAGGTGGGAGCTGTCTCCCCCGGCGAGATGGACTTCTCCTGATCATACGAGCTGTCGACGGTCGCGGCACCTTGGTGTCCACCTTGAATAAATGCCCCCGTGGCATCTTCGTCCTTGTGCACGCCGTACTTGCGCTCGACATAGACTTCTGCTGCCAGGTCCATGAGGAAGATAATCATAACTGAGCCTAGCACGATCGCCGCACACCATGAATATTCGCCCCAGTAGCCCGACTCTCCGACGCAAGTCTTGGGTCCGATTCGCTTATATGCTGGGTCTAGAAGATGGACGAAAGCTGTTGCGACAATAACGCCGGTACCGAAATAACGGGCGAACAAGTAGACACTGAAGGGGATTTTCCAAGATGGCAAGCTTTTGGCCACGACGGGAAAGAAGGTAAACGCGGAGGAGACGAATAGGATCACAAAGATTGAAGAAATACGTGCACCGAGGTGCCCATTATACTCATTGTCTGACAGGGCAAGGAAGCACAGTACATCCTCTTTGCTTGCTGTGTTCAGGTCAACCTGAGAGGCGTTAAAGGCAGACATCGCGCACTGCCGTGGGATGAAGATTGTATGAGAGTTTTGATGGTAGATCTGTTACAGCCGGATCGAAACATTGTAGGCAAAGGACTTCTGTGATATAGTATTGGTATCGAGTACCTTGTGAGTAGTGTGGGATGAATTGAAGTCGCTGTTCACTACTGCTGGCTGGGATGAAAAGGATAGTCGGCAACCTGTTGGCTGGACTAAGTGTTTGATCCGGATGATTGAACATTTTACAAAAGTCACTAAGCTTTAGCGGTCCTTCGAGTGGACAACCTAATTAAAGTGTGGAGCTACAGCGTCTCTCATCGTCCAATAAATTCCTTCTAATTACATTCGCATGGCTCGCTATGCGGGCAAACGAGCAAGAGCACACTTCAGGCGCATATACAGGTGGGCCTCTTGTCGGATATATCGCCCGTATATGAGCACAATTGACAATACTACTATTGCTCTCCCTGGTGACACGCACTACCTTGTGATAGCATCCTTGAAACTAGGCACCTCGGGTAATCTTCTCGCGTTACAGCAAAGGCTTAATTCTGGTAAGATACTCAACGGCTCATCCCTGTTGTCCATTGCCGAGACCCACTCCGATGGCGCTATGCAGCCCCATAGGGCTGAACCTGAGCTCCCAAGATTGGTCTCGCATTGAACATACGTCCATGCCTGCCTATTTTCCTGGCAAAGAAAAGGAAAGAAGTTCGATGTATCATACGATCTGAATTGAAAAGAATAACTAGCCGAAACTCCTGGACAAACAAGTTCTATGATTGATTCTCTTTCACAAAACTCTCGAAGTACATACCAGTACAGGCACACAGCACGGCATCTTCCGAAAGGTAAATCGGATATTAGATGCTGAATGCGCGTTAGGTCACCTACAAGGTCCTCAATGAGTGGATTCTCCCGCATCTTGACTTTTGCTTGTTTCTCCAACTTTATCCTGTTGCCTGATTCTCTCTCGCGACCGTGGCCGAAGCCTGCATACGATATTGAGTTTTCCAAGACGAACGCTTGATAGCATAAAGCTTTAAACTTAAAGAGTAAAGGTGTGCATGTTGCACTTGCACTTTATGATACAGTTGGGTACACTCGCAAGAGGTGGGGATATTAGAAAACTTAGAGTGCTCGTTCTACAGTACGTTACTAGGGCGTCGCCTTGTAGGGCTGACGGATGAGAGCCCTCCGCTGCAAAACCGGGTAATGTGCGCCATAAATAGCAAATCAAGTTTTCAAATACAAGAGGCCAAGTAATTTGTAGATTACCGTGGGTGCATTGACGTGGTTTCGCGGGACCTCGGAATAAATAGCGACTTCAGCGTAATCCAGCAGGCAACCACAATTTGTCCCTCGGTCCAATTATTCAATTGCTCAACAAATGCTTACTCTATCTTGCATTACTGTAGTATCATCCCAATCAACCCATTTGCCCCCCCCGCCAATACCATTTCCACCGATTTCCGTCTGCCAGGGCGCTAGCTGACAGCTGGAAGACAGCTAGGCCCTCCATTTGGCCAAAAAGCGCTCTATAACACGCCCGCACTGGCAGCATGCCACCTTCCACTTCAACCCGCTTGTTCCCACCTACCCCCTAACATGCGACTCCATTTCCTATAGTTCTAGAGCCGAGTTGGTTACTCCTCAAGCCTCAATCGCGAATCAACATGTTTACCACAATTTGGTAAGACCACGACCCACTGGTGTACCTGAGACATTACCCACTGACCAGACAGGCGAATCGTTTCTGCAACACTCCGATTCATTTGGCTTGTACTTTTACGCCCGTTAGTCATAGTTGTCGCTACGGGGGCCGTCGTGTCGATTTATCGAGCTGGTCTCCCCCTCTGGAAAGACGTTCCGGCGGTTTTCTACGAACTGTATGTATGCCTCTTTTTCCGTTGCTGTCCTAGCTGATTGCCTAGGGTTATGTCGTTTATCGCGTAGCGGTCTCTTTTCTGTTTCGTTCTAGTTTATTATTATTAGTTACGCAAAGAATGGGGTTTTGTATGGTTTAGCCTTTTGTGATATCATTATGGGTTCTTGAGTGGTGGTTGTTGATTATTAATTTATCACAACTGTTTCTGTTTCGGTTGTTGAAGAATCGATATTGGTACACAATATACTTCAAGTGGATAGAGAAGGTGGCATGCGCTATACTTTCCACGGGTGTACCAATCGATCATAAAAGATATAGACTAACTCATCGCTTGAAGTTCTGAAGCGTGAGAAAGATAAATCTTAAGGTGATACCGCTGCTGCATTATATCCGGCGGCTTCCGGCCTTGAATTTCCCTGGTTGTTTCAAGATTAGTAAGTCATTGGGGCAAATGCTTCTAGTCTTAGAATGCCTTATGGACGAAATGAGTACGCTTATCTCTACACTTGGTTTTTATCACTGACTTTCGTATGCAGAAAAGAATATATATATTGAGCAACGCAACTCAATACCTGGCTGTTTTACATGGCTCACATCTACCTCTTTCTTAGCATAGCTTATATCCATATAGTATTTTATATATACCCACAAAGTACTAGGTCTCGGAGAGTTTGACTCACTTCCTACTTGCAAATTCGATATCAACTTGAATCCAAGATTCCTACTGTTACAAGTTGAGGCCACAGGGGCAGCCTTGCTCATAGTTCCATACAAATGCGCTTGAAGTGATGAGTGGCGAAAGCATAAAAGTAGGGTTCAATAGATATATACAACTCGATGTATGCAATATGAGCAACCTAGAAATTAACGTGCTGGAGGTATAAAAACGAATCATCAAGCGTGATAACATTACCATTTCGTAGTTGCATGGGAGTCAATGCCCTCCAATCTGTATCTTACACCGTGGAAATTTTATTGCCTCATTCTGTGTCCTGATAGCCATGTGTTCTACACTCGTTATTAACTCAGTTCAAAGCTAGTGGACCACCTTGCGAGTGTGGAAGTGTACTGACGTTTAATAACATTTGTAGGAGCAGTACTTTGCGTTCATACAATATCCGCGAGGCGGAACACAAGACCATTGGCGACCCAGAGCATTGATGAACTACCGCGATGTATCTACAAATCTGCGACATGGACATGATATCACTTCTGCGGCATGTCCTTCTCAAGCCCCAATGCGGACGAAAGGTTTGGCTACTGAAATCAAAATAGGGTTCTAGAAAAACTACCTCTCCATCTGGTATGGACCCACATACCGTTACTTTCCGATACATATATTACCCACATTTAGCGGATCAAAACACAGCGTCAGCTTGCTTCCGTTACGAAGCGATACATACACGGTCATCCCGATGAGGAAATAAAGGAACGTCGGCCAGCGAACAATAAGCCACTCGATTGTCCGGATATGAGTCTTGCTGACGGAAATCGGCATTCTGTGTGCAGTTGCTGTGCCGGTTAACCGGGATGCCGAATGTATATAAGAACCACTATGGGAAGAAAGAGACAATTCTTCTGGACTGAAGCTGGTATAGATCACAGAGGCTTACACTCATATACACCTTCTTGCTCGTTTCTATTATTAATCACAATGGCTGCAACCATCAAAACTGACGTTCTGATTGTCGGTGGAGGACCCGTGGGCCTGCTTGTAGCTTACGGTCTTGCCAGGCAGGGCGTGGATACCGTGCTTGTTGGTAAGTGATTGTTTGTTCTTCGTTACTATGTAGTTATTGACGTATTGGTATAGAAAAACATGACAAGGAACAGCAAGCTATGTACGGCAGAGCGACAACTCTATACCCTCGAACACTGGAAATGCTTGACCAGCTCGAGCTCCTGGATGGGTTAAATCAAATCGGATATATCGGCCGTAATAGTGTCACATACAAAGATGGCCAGCGGGTGACATCGCGAGGCTGGCATGTGATGTTCCAGCGGATGAGTGGCACATTTTTGGACTATTGTCTGAATATCCGGCAGAAGTATTCTGAGAATGTGATTCGAGACGCTTATCTGAATATGGGAGGTCGCGCTTATATCGGCTGGGCACTCGAAGACTACACCGTGGATAACCGGGGGGAGGGCGACTATAAAGTAACCTCAAGGATTTGCCAGGCTGATACTAGCAAAGGTTTGACAGTGTGCAGGTGAGTCTGGGCTGTCCATAAACATTAGCCTGGGCGCTCTCTGATGTTTCATAGCAAATTTATTGTTGGGGCGGATGGTGGGCACTCACTTGTTCGACGCTTATCGGGCATCCCATTTGAGGGTGATCGTACGGACTTCAAGTGGGTTCGGATTGATGGGCAGTTCAAGACCAACATGCCGGATGCGGATCTTGGTTTCGCGTCCATTGAGTCGAAGAGCCATGGAAACGTTCTCTGGGTCCAATTAGACCATGGCGTGAAACGTATAGGCTTCGCAATGACTGATGATATGCTCGCGAAATATGGCAATTCGCTTACGGAGGACCAAGCTAAAGAAGAGGCTGTTAGGTCGATGGAGCCGTTCTCATTGGAGATCGAGAAGGTCGACTGGTGGACGTTATACAGGTAAGCCACGCGTGTTTGACACTCCTATCTTCCGACGTTCTCACTGAAAGTTCCATGACAGCATCAATCAACGAGTTGCCGATACCTTCTTTGCCAACGATCGTATCTTGCTGGCAGGCGACGCATGTCATACACATTCTTCGGGGGCCGCACAGGGCATGAACACCGGCGTTCACGACGCAGTCAATCTGGCCTGGAAATTGGGAGGCGTAGTGAAAGGCTGGTATAGTACCGAAATCCTCCGAACCTATGACAACGAGCGACGTCCGGCCGCGCAGCATCTCATTGAGCTGGACAAAGCATTCTCGGCAACCATTTCAGGGCAAATTCCAGAGACCCACAAGGGCCTATATGCCGATGCAAATGAGTTATTCACCAAGCTCTTTGACGAGTCAATCCAGTTTAACATCGGACTAGGGATTCACTATGATGAAAGCATAATTAGCAAGAACCCGTCCACTGGAATGGTTTCAGCTGGCTGGAGAGCACCCGATGCTTTGGTTTATGCTCCCGGATCCCGTATTCCGGTTCGGCTTTTCCAACTTACCAGAAACACAGGAACGTGGACCGTTCTCATATTCGCCGGACAACCTACCCTCACTCGGAAGACATTGGCTTTATCAATGAAGAAATTGGCCGTATCACTTGACAAGCTCCCTAAAGGGATGTTCCGGTGCTTTACGTTGATTGCTAACAGTGTCACCGAAGGTGACCAGGTTTTTACAGTCCCAAAGATTGGTCATTCATATTATGATTCTGACCGATCGGCCCACGCTGCATATACCATTTCCACCAACAGTGGTGGGGTAGCTGTTCTTAGACCGGACGGCATCCTTGGATACGCCACAGCCCTGGAAGATATTGAGGCCGTTGAGACTTTCTTTCACGGCGTCGTTTCCAGGAATTAATAATGGGAGCGGAGACCCTAGCATCCTCCTAATGGTTCTTGACTTTCTTTCGCTTTTCATACTGTTCTTGTTGGGCGGAATGTATGAATAAAGACGTGTCATCGCCACCAGTCCTTAAGGCATGGAAGATGGGAATATTCAATGATAGCATTAGAATTGTAGACTGAACCAGAACGGATCGAAAAATGTATCCTCGTTGAAATCCAGATCGCGAAAGAGGTCGTCTGTGAACGGTAGATAATCTGTTCCTTCTGATGGTAGATCATTTAGCCTATCGTTATCCAGCTGTTCGAAGGTGGGAGACTGATTAGGAGATGGCTGTTCCCGCGGTAATATATTGGTCCTTGGCTTTGCAACGCGCGGAAAGGTGATTGAGCATCGCTCTTTGATCGTGCATAAGTTCTCGGCACAGCGTTCCGCCGTGCTGCTATAGAACCTCAGCTTGTCTAATGAAGACTGACACTTCTGCCACGATTGTTCTAGAGCTTCCCAGGTTACACTATCCACGACCGATTGAGAGAGCCCCGCAAGAAGAATAACAGAACCCGCAGTAAATGCATCTGTGGAGAAGGGGCCGGTCAATAACAGTGTGTGAAGAAGCTCTGGCCTTGCATGAAAATACTTACAAAAGACGTTGTAGCACCAGACGCTAGACAGATGAGTGTTGCAAGTCTGATGAACTAAAGAGATAAGATCAATGGCAGCATTGACACAGTATATGGAACAGTCAAGGCTAACTCTGGAGTGGATTCCAGAGTTATGGATGGATTCATTGCTCTCGCTACACAACATTGTGTTACTATTTCGAAGAGTCTGAGAGAGGATAGGCCGGTATAGGAGAATTTTCAAATATGAATATCTGGAATCGTAAATTAGAGAGAAGCCTCAGTCACAGGCCGTCATTTCTGCATACCTTGCTCGAAGCAAACACTTTTCTCTTTGGAAATTGTCTGGACCGTCACGTAAGACTTCATGGTCCCACATGAGTGCTTCTGGTAGATTGGTCTTGAATTCCTCGAGGTCTGCATCAATCTGTATAATGTTCTGAAGCTGCCAAGTGTTTTCAGCCGGCATATGGTTACTCACGCTCCCCGCTTCCATTGACCCTGCATTGTTATACAATGACTTCAGAATCTTGCGGAGCGTATCGTACAGCTTTAAGGTTTCAATGAACCATACAACGCGCGATAGTACACGGGGAGGTTGTTTACAAGTTGGCGCACCCACTGATAGATAGCAATCGTCAATAGCCTCGGGGAGAGGCGTCATTGGCTTTTGGGCAATCATTGCCGGGCGTCCAAGTATTGTGCTGACGGCTCTATATGGTCAACCAGGCTGTGAGTTAGCAGTGTATCTGAAAGGATCGGATAGAAAATACCATACAGGTCAAGCATTACACAACCATGCCATACCCTCCGCCTAAGCTGGATTTCGGCAAACGATCGACGTTCATTGCCGCGATCTGAGTGCAACCCCAGCGCCTGAGCTAGCCGACATGCCATGCCTATAACATGCCAGCAACGATTGGGCGTTCGTGAACATTGTAAATAATGCGTGACGAGCAAGAGAGTTTGGCATACAGCTAGATCTCCCCCTTCCAGATATTCCACATCTAGCACTGGCTTGCACCGACGATAAAAAGCTTCCGAGGTAGTTTCTCGCTGTGTCTGCACTACGTTGGAGAACTGACATCCTAGAGCAAATATGGCATTCAATGCGCAGTGGAAGGTGGTGCGACTGACAGTAGCATCTCCTATCCCCAGACCAGGAGCCGTATTTGTGTCTCGACTTGACTCCGCAGGCACCCACAGCGACCGGTATGCAGTGAAGAAAGCGTCCTTATGCACAAACGGATAAAGTGTGTGTATCTTAGAAAAATAGCAGTCGACCAGATGGTCGGCCAATGGGCGTGGGGGGAGCAGCTCCATTGATGGTCTAGGTTCAGCTGAGAGCTTGGGGGCCCGCTGGTGATCGTGCGGGTCGATTGAGCGACAAGGCACCTCGTGGCCAGAGCCTGGCGCGGTGTTAGTTGCTGGAAGGGAATGCTGCAACTCCTGGATAAAGGCCACTGTTGAGGAGTCGCCGAAGAATTCTCTAGTTGAGTTCTGCTCCCTGTCCAGGGGACCAACAGTTAAGCCCATGGCTGTCACGCCAGCATCATCCCGTTCATATGTCGTGTCTCTAGTTGCGACAGAGGAAGCGGAAGAAGCAGACTCATGCCCGAGCGGCCCATAATTCAGTTGAGAAGGCGATATCAGTAGTATATCCTCTCGTACACTGGGGCTCTCATCCTCTCTATCGCAGTGTCAGTGATCAGCTCTTGTTGAAGGAAAGATAGACGCACCTGAGTGGACGCGGATCGTCATCTTGAAAAATACAGCGATCCCGGCGGCGTTGGCAAGTACCGCAATGGGGTCGGACTCCGTCACAGCGTATCTTCAGTGATCGACAGGTGTTACATGCGACACCGACTCTCTTCCTCTTCAGTCTACGCGGAGGAATTGTCGGGGTGGTAATTAGCATCGTCCTGGTATGGTGTGACTGATGAGGAGCAGGCGACGAGACCAAAGAGCAGTCCTATCGCCGTAGAAGTCCAAGTTATTCATTTTCCTCTCATGTTGGGGTGGACAAACAAGAAGAAGGAGAAGAAGTTCAGCAAGTCGATGGAAGAACGAAGTGGGACTGGCCCATGATTGGTTGGCCTTCCTTCCATCGCCTCCCGGTCAAAAGTCGGCTTATTCCGATTCCGTATCAAAAACAACACGGCAGGTCACAAATACAGAATACCCAAATTAATTTCATACGGATCGTGAATTGTGCATCGGAAGAGATACTGTGGCATGGCAAGTGCTTGTGTCGTTCGCTGCAGCCTGACTCCGGTCACTGGTGCAAGAGCGACTTGAACTTCGAATGACAGATATCTCCGCTTCCATGTCTCCCATACAGCTCGAGGGGGTTCCAAGAAAGAGCGAAAAGAGGGCAGAGAGATTCACAAAATCGAGGTAGCAACCAACAGTCTCTTCATACAGCGAAATACAAAGCACAAGAACGTATCCTCAGCACCAGTTGAGCACATTCTCCCTGGTATCGGCCTTAATTTCCCGACTCCGTAAGGCAGACCCACCGTGACTCTCGCTATCGCCGAAGAGGGTCTTGGAAGTTGGCTTCGCTTGCGCACGCTGGCCCATCGTTGACTCTTGGCGCAATACGCGACACCTTCAGGTGTGTCAAGGTTGCTTGTGAGCAGTCCTCGAGCCCCTGTCGCTCAATTGACTAGCAAGCTCTCAGGTCACTGTCAAAAAACCCTGTAATGAGCAGCATGTCACAATCTTGGCCGGCAGGGCAGAATATAAATACCATACTTCGTGGCTAGATAGACAGGGGCCGAGACACGATGACCCCCATTCCAGTTGCGTAACAATAAGCTCTCACTCCACTTTCTTCTTCGGGAAAGAAACGGCGAGAAAGTTATCTGATTTTACGATTCTGGTATAGATCATGTCCTGTTCCCGAGGGCTAGGTGAAATCGCCCGCAATCATATCAAGGTGACGTTGTCCCCTCGGATAATCACCCAGGCTGAATGTGTATGATCGGACATAATGGTCGAAAGTGTCCTTAGAATGTGGACATGAGCTTGGAGAAATCGCAAATCCCTGACGCGTCCTGGCGTGGACCTTGAGATCGTCTGTTAGGCATCTCATTAAGTATAGCCAATGTGGTGTGATGTCCAGGTATATATATCTTTGAAGATCTCGCTCAGTGTTATCCTTGTTGGCACACAACTTTACCTCATTGCCTGCAAGATCTTCCGGGATGGCCCCGCATCTGTCGAAGAGCTTGGCCTCTCTGGCTGTGAGCGCTGTGATTGCCCAAGCTCAGCTCTGGGACCAGACTATTCAGACGAATTACGGTCCTGTCCAAGGTTTCCAATATTTCAACGAGTCTACCCTCGAGAAATACTTTGGTATCTCCGAATCCAATGTGACAGCCTTCTTAGGTGTCCCATTCGCCGCGGACACTGGGTATCAGAACCGCTGGAAGCCACCACAGCCACGTGAGCCCTGGAATGACACCCTGAAAGCGACGGACTTTGGCCCTGCCTGCCCCAGCAACTACGCATCGAGTATCAGCGAAGACTGTCTCAGTCTGAACCTCTGGACCAGTGCCGGCTCTGCGGATGCCAAACTCCCTGTTATGGTCTGGAACCAGGGTTCCGACGAGACCAGCAATGATGCCTGGTGGTACGGCGGTGGAATGGCCTTGAAGGACGTCATTCTCATCACCTTCAACCGTCGCGACGATGCGTTCGGTTACCTCGCCCATCCGGAGCTCAACGCCGAAGGTCTCCAGCTCACCGGTCACAACACGTCCGGAAACTACGGTGTCCTGGACCAGCTCGAGGTCCTCAAATGGGTCCAGAAAAACATTGCCAAGTTTGGTGGTGATCCGGACCGCGTGGTCGTCGCCGGCCAGTCTTTCGGATCTTCCCAGGTCTACCACGCCGTCAATAGCCCGTTGTTCAAGGGGTATTTCCATGGCGGTATCTCCGAGTCTGGCATTAGGTATCCATACGATCCCATGCTGGCCGGCCTCGCGACCTCTTACGTCAACATGTCTGCTGCCATCACGCACGGTGTCAACTACACTACTTTCCACAACGTCTCCAGCATCAAGGAACTACGCACGCTCTCCATGGAGGAACTCCTGGTCGGCTCCCAGGACCGCGTCAATGAGACGTGGATCGACCCGATCACTGCACTGTCTGCTGGCTATCCTCTCATTTTTAAGCCCGTCCTAGACGGTTACGTTCTTCCCTCCACATACCTGGAGACGCTCATCAACGGCCCCGCCAACGACGTACCTGTCATCACAGGCAACACCAAGGACGAATCCGGAGCCTCAACAAGCACAGACTACACCGTCGAGGAATACGAGTCCTACTCCTCTCTCAAATACGGTAATCTCTCCAGCCGTTATTTCCAGCTCTACCCGGACCACGACAACGCAAGCACCGCAGACAGGGCCTGGAACGCGGCTGCCCGCGATACCTCCCTCATTGGCTCCTGGGCCTATGCCACGGACTGGTACAAGGCCGCCTCCTCTTCCTTCTACACCTACTACTGGACCCATGCCCCTCCAGGCCAAGACCAGGGCGCCTTCCACCAGTCTGAGATCATGTACGCACTGAATGCTCTCTACGCCAACGCGGATAGGTACCCGTTCACCGCGCAGGACTATGCCATTCAGGAGAAGATGTCCGCCTACTGGGCGAACTTCGCAAAGACGCTCGATCCCAACAAGGGCGGGTCTTTCACTGGCAGCGGCTCGCTGCCCTGCTGGAGCCCGAACAGCGCAAATGGCACCCAGCTTGTCATGGAGCTCGGCAATGCGTTTGGAAACGTCCCCATTGCCAAGAAGGCGCAGGTGGAGCTCATTATGGAGTGGTTCCATCAGCAGACTCCGTACTGATTTCGGTAATGACGAGGCTTCGTAGGTCGGTCAGTCTACTGTAAGGAGACACCATCCCTGCTACCGATACCCCAGTGCGAAGACCACCATCAGATAATGTATTCCTACATTTCTCCCTGAATTATTATTCCTGACTAACCTATTTCTGTCACCTTTCCTGCCACTCCTTTGAATTGTTTTATGTACATATATAAAGAGACTTTCCATTCTCTGTTCCCAAATACTAAACGCATAAAATATCCAACGCTGCCCCTTCCAATTGTACCACGTAATCCTATCTAATAACATACAACCCAGCTGCTCAGGCCATGCATCATCCATGCATTCCATAAAACATTAGTAGTCTTTCATCCATTATCAATACAGCCTAAAGACAAACTACAGCCTCACCCAAACTCCAATCCCTCAACCCAACCGAGCACCTCTCCCCATAAAATACCAGTGAAACGCCTCACCACCATCCAACACCATGAACGAAACATACCCCAACATTCAAACTCTCCGATAGGGCTGCCGACAAGTGGGCCCAACGCACGTTGTTTAAGTTCCCGGTATCAAATACCCAATATAGACTAGCGTCCCACGTATGCCCCCTCGGGAATACCAAAACCTTCATCAAAATGCTTCATACTAGTACGTAGCGCCACTGCCGATCATTGGGTGGGAATTTGTCCACGAGTGCGTGGTACCTGTTATTTAGCTCGGGAGTTAATTTATTGTGTGGGGATATTGGGTTTTTGGTGCGTTTGGGTGGGATGAGTTTGTAGAAGGTTGACGGATTTCATACTAAATCTTAGGGTTGGACGGTGTTATTATGTGTAGATAGCGTGGATATCATGTGGATGGAGTGGCTTTGTTTGTGTGTTACCGTGTGTGCCTTGGAGGGACTCCATGGAGGAGTTGGCATAGTATTGAATGAATCATGAGCTATGCAGTGAACTAAGTAGTTATGGGTGAGGCGTTCTGCGCATATCTCATATGTGGTCCACTTGCATCAAAATCCAATTTTAAACGTCTGAAATAGTCCTCAGGCGATTAACTGTCTATGAATAGAAGTAAAAATATCGAAAAGCCCGGTAACAACTAACGACGAATCAACCTACGCTATCACATATTTCCGCCCGTGTTGATTCTGCTTGGGAACCGGTCAAGACCCTGCTGAGAGCCCTTGCTATCTTAAAGCTCGACTATCACTTTGAACTGTCATACCTGGGTACTAGTAAATATTATCCCGAAATACGTATGCCGCCGCTACGGCGCTTCCAAGTACCTGTCACCGGCGTCCATCAACAGCTGTATTATTGCCTTGTTGGTGACCATCGAAAGCAGCGTCTTAGATGACTGACACTCTGGGTTAAAGCCCACGCCCCCTTGGTCGAGTAAGAGGTGCACCACAGCCACGTGCCCCCTGCGCGCCGCCACTGATAACGGCGTTTCCCGGTAGTATGTGGGTTGATTGGGGTCCACATCGGGCTGCGCTAGTAGCATTAAGATAGCCTCATAGTGACCATTCTCTGAGGCGGCATAGATAGGTGTCTCTCCGATATAGTTACAAACACCTGGATGAGCACCCTTTACTAACAGCTCTCCCAGAACGTCCGAATGGCCTCCACGAGCCGCCATTAGGAAAGCCGTCGTCCCGTCTTCTGCCCGGTGATGCACGTCGACATCGGGGTGTTGAAGAAGCATGAGTGCAGCTCTTGCTTGCGCATGCCATGCTGCAACGCCAAGGGCAGTGCGTCCAAGCTTGTTCGGTACGTTGATGTTCACTGTGCGTTCTTTTAGCAAGACGGACATGAGGTCAAGATCACCCCGCGCGGCCGCAATCATCAACGGTGTTGCTAGGTACTCGTCGCAGCAGCAGTTTGGGTTTGCTTTGTATCTCTGAATAAGCAG